TGCTAGATGGAAGCACTCGCTTTTGCTGGTGTGGGAATTCAAACTGCTCACCACCTATAGAACTGAGCTCCATGTATATCAGCTTCCAGCACAGAGATGTGGAAGCACCCAGCTTTACAAAACAGAAACCTGCCCTTGCTGTTCTGTTCCAGGAATGCTGCTCTGGTGACAGTATGTGGGGACAGAGCACTGCAGCCTGCAGCATGGTGAGAGCCAGCGCAGAGCGGGGAGATTCCCGAGGCAGCAAATCCAGCGAGGAACCTGTTCCCAGCCTGAGAAACAGGCTCCCCCCGGCATCCAGCAGCTTGCAGAAGTTACCTGAACAGGAATTCAGTATCCATAATAAAAATACCTGTCTCCTCTTCAGACACTGTCCACTCGCCCAGTGGCATCGGTAGAGGAAGAAAGAGCACAAACAAGGGAGCAACAGAGCAACTGGGAGGTTAAAACTTCTGTTCACCGAGGACGTGGGTGACCGAGGCAGCTCCTTGGAGATCTGGATGCAGGAAATACAGCTGCGACCAACAGAAACGTATTCAGAACAGAAACAGCAGAGATTAGAGCAGAGCAAAGAAAGCGACAGAAGCAGAAGAGAAGCTATCAAGAGCAGAGTTAATAGACTCCACATAATAGTAGCTCTAATCAAATATTAATTTTTCTCACTCTGAGTGGATGCAGCTATCGGTGCTGGCATAGACACTCTGGGGAAATAGCACAGTTAAAAATAAAAGCAAAGAGGATGACTTCAGATTATGTTAACTGCTTCAGTCTGCAGGCCTGCTGTCCAAAAGGTCTGGACCTCAGAAGAAATCAATCCTTTTAGTCTGCTACACAAATGAATAGTCCATTACTAATTCCGAATCTCCTTGCCCTCTTACTCCGCCCAAAATATTTTTCAATATATAAATTTAGCAATTTAAAAAAAAAACATAAAAAGTGATGGATGGCCTGTTAACAACTTTCAATCAAAAGACATTCTCTCAGTCATATTAATGAACGCACAAACCAGACATCTTAATTGTTAGATGGAGATCAAAAGATGCAAAAATAGCCATCAGTCACAGTCACTCTGTTGAAAGTACATTGTGGAAGTTCCTCTTCCCAAACTGAATTCGTTGCTCTCAGCAATATTCCCACGTACTCACAGAAAGCTACTTTTTTTTTTTCCTTAAAAAACACAGAACTTTGCTACAATTTAAGACTAGTAAAAGAGGGCAGCCTGGGAAGCTGCAGCAGGTCCAAGAGCTCCTGGTACCAAGGTGCTAAACCTACCCATGCACAGGCCCGTCCGCTGCAAGGCAGGGGCAGAGCAGGCAGGAAGGCGCCGCGGCGCTCGGGAGGAGAGGGCCGAAGCAGCTGGAATGCCCTTCCTTCCCGTACGTCCTGCCCTAGCCCCGCGCAGAGCCGGCGCCGGCTTTGACGCCGCAGGGGCACCAAGCCCTCGGTCGTGCTGAGCGCCAGCGATGCCGCGTGTTTCGTGCCCATGCTGGCCTGCAGGCTCCGCGTTGGTAAATCACAGGGAATGGCTTTTCCAACAGCTCGGGGCAGCTGGATCTTAATATCCCCTCTTCACGTGTGGTACTTACGTGAAACAAGAGCTGCTATGGCAGGAACGGCAGGGAGCCTTTGCTTAGGCCCGAGCTGGAGCTGCACGTAACCCAGGTGGACACGGCCCTCTCCCTCGGGCCGACACGGTGTTTTCTAGCTCTAGGCTTGCAGCAGTCCCTGCATGGGTAGCCACCACCCCAGTGCACGTGCTCTAAGCCTGCCAGTTTTCTGGACTTGCACGGCTGCGATGGGATCCAAACTGCAAAGGATGGTGTTTGCTCGCGGGGCTGGGAGGTTATACAAGAATGACGCTGCCCCGGTTCCTGCTGGTTGGAGGTTTTGTGAAGCAGGGCCTCGTACAGTAACGGGGATCTCGCAAACCCTCGGCGAGCGCTTGCCCGCGGGAAGGGCCCCACGAGCATCCCTCTGTGGGAGACGCTGAGCGTGTTGGCAGATGCGCCCACGTGCCAAGCTGCCAACGTCATGCGGAGCACGCGCGGCCTAGCGAGCAGCAAAACAACAGAGCACCTTCCTACAACTGCAGTCGCAGTAGTACGAGAAGAAAGAAATAGCCTGGCAAAAAGGCTATCGACGGCTGCCCGCTTGCAGCTGCGCTTTCTGCGCTGCATTTCAACGTGTTCTGAGCGCACACATTTAACCTAACGCCTCCCCAGGCGCATCGCCCTCACGCAGACCCAGCCGCACACGACGCCCGGTCCCTGCCGCCTCGCAGCCCCTACCTGGAGCGCGGCGGCATCGTCGAGGCCGAAAAGGAGCT